TGTAGCCAAAACCCCCGAACCCAGACGAGCTACTTGTGAACAGCCATAAGAGCATACTCATCTATGTCGCAAAATAGTGAGAAGATTTACAAGTAGTGGTGAAAAGCCTACCGAGTTTGGTGATAGCTGGTTGTCCAAAATAGGATATAAGTTCAACTTTAAATTTACCTACAGAATAAATAATCCCCATGTAAATTTAAATGTTACTCTAAAGAGGGACAGCTCTTTAGAAATAGGAAACAACCTTACTTAGAGAGTAATTAAAATCTTTTCCATAGTTGGCCTAAAAGCAGCCACCCATTAAGAAAGCGTCCAAGCTCAACTTACCAGAAAATGCCTTAATCTTAAAAACCAAATGCAACTCCTACAACCACACTGGACCAATCTATAAATAATAGAAGCAATACTGCTAATATAAGTAACAAGAAATTATTCTCCTCGCATAAGCTTATATCAGACCAGATAATCCACTGATAGTTAACAACCCAATATAAACAATTATAAATATACAACTTATTATACCCATTGTTAACCCAACACAGGCATGCGACTCATTCAAAGGAAAGATTAAAAGAAGTAAAAGGAACTCGGCAAAATTTTAACCCCGCCTGTTTACCAAAACCATCACCTCTAGCATAACTAATATTAGAGGCACTGCCTGCCCAGTGATATATTTATTAAACGGCCGCGGTATCCTGACCGTGCAAAGGTAGCATAATCACTTGTTCTCTAAATAAGGACTAGTATGAATGGCCACACGAGGGGGGGGTTTTACTGTCTCCTACTTCCAATCAGTGAAATTGACATCTCCGTGAAGAGGCGGGGATATTTCAATAAGACGAGAAGACCCTATGGAGCTTCAATTTAACTACTCAACCAGTACTAAAATAACCTAATAGGATTAACACTAAGTTGAACATGAGCCGTAAATTTCGGTTGGGGTGACCTCGGAGCACAAAAAATCCTCTGAATGATAATACCCAAGACCTTACCAGTCTAAGTAAAAATCATTTATTGATCCAAACTTATTTTGAACAACGGAATAAGTTACACTAGGGATAACAGCGCAATCCTATTACAGAGGTCATATCGACAATAGGGTTTACGACCTCGATGTTGGATCAGGATATCCCAATGGTGCAACCGCTATTAATGGTTCGTTTGTTCAACGATTAAAATCCTACGTGATCTGAGTTCAGACCGGAGCAATCCAGGTCGGTTTCTATCTATTTATTATCTCTCCCAGTACGAAAGGACAAGAAAGATGGGACCTACCTCTACTTGAAGCGTCCCTTATTTAATAGATGAAATAATCTTTATCTAATAAATTAATAAATAATCCTACCCAAGAACAGGGTTCGTTAAGATGGCAGAGCCCGGTAATTGCATAAAATTTAAAACTTTATTATCAGAGGTTCAACTCCTCTTCTTAACAACATGTTTCTAATTAATCTACTAATCCTAATTATCCCAGTTCTCCTAGCTATAGCCTTCCTAACATTAGCAGAACGCAAAGTACTAGGATATATGCAACTCCGAAAAGGCCCTAACATCATTGGGCCCTATGGTCTCCTCCAACCCTTTGCAGATGCCATAAAATTATTTATCAAAGAACCCCTCCACCCACTTACATCAACATCTCTACTCTACATCATTGCACCAACTCTTGCTCTATCCCTAGCTCTCATTATATGAATTCCCATACCCATACCACACCCTCTCCTCAACATAAACCTAAGCGTCCTATTTATTCTAGCAACATCCAGTCTAGCCGTATACTCTATTCTCTGATCAGGCTGAGCATCAAACTCCAAATACGCACTAATTGGTGCACTCCGAGCAGTAGCCCAAACAATCTCCTATGAAGTAACCCTCGCAATTATTCTCCTAGCAATTCTCCTAATAAACGGATCCTTTACACTAATAACACTAATTACAACTCAAGAATACTCTTGACTATTTCTCCCCTCCTGACCACTAGCAATAATATGATTTATCTCAACATTAGCCGAAACAAATCGAGCACCCTTTGATCTCACAGAGGGCGAGTCAGAGTTAGTCTCAGGATTCAATGTTGAATATGCTGCAGGACCATTTGCCCTATTCTTCATAGCAGAATACACTAACATTATTATAATAAATGCTCTAACTACCATCATCTTTCTAGGCGCACTACATAACATCTTTACACCCGAAATATTTACAATCAACTTCATAGCAAAAACACTTATCCTCACCTCACTTTTTCTATGAGTCCGAGCCTCATATCCACAATTTCGATACGATCAACTAATACACCTTCTATGAAAAAATTTCCTTCCACTCACACTGGCTTTTTGTATATGATACATCTCAATACCCATCCTAATATGCAGTATTCCACCCCATCTATAAAACAAGAAATATGTCTGACAAAAGAATTACTTTGATAGAGTAAATAATAGAGGTTTAAATCTTCTTATTTCTAGAATCACAGGAATTGAACCTATACTTAAGAATTCAAAATTCTTCGTGCTACCTAATTACACAATATTCTATAGTAAGGTCAGCTAAATAAGCTACATACCCTGAAAATGTTGGTTCATATTCTTCCCGTACTAATTAAACCCCTAACCTTATCCTCCATTTTCCTTACCTTATTTTCAGGTACTATAATCACTATATTCAGCTCACACTGACTACTAATTTGAATCGGACTAGAAATAAGTATATTGGCTATCACACCAATCCTAATTGAAAAAGCCAACCCCCATTCAACCGAAGCAGCTACTAAATACTTTCTAATCCAAGCTACAGCTTCTATACTTCTAATAATAGCCGTAATTACAAATACAAGTTATTCCGGACAATGAACTGCTATAAACAAATTCAATCAAGCATCCTCAATAATAATCTTAATTGCCTTAATAATAAAACTAGGTCTCTCACCCTTTCACTTCTGAGTTCCTGAAGTTACACAAGGAGTATCACTAACATCCGGAATATTACTCCTTACATGACAAAAATTAGCTCCTATCTCAATCTTATATCTAATTAATATAACCCTAGACCTAACACTAATGATCTTAATTGCCCTAGCCTCTATCGCATTGGGCGGCTGAGGAGGACTAAACCAAACACAACTTCGAAAAATCCTAGCTTACTCTTCTATTGCCCACATAGGATGAATAATCGCGATTCATCCTATGTGGGCAATAGAACGTGCAATAGAACGTTGCACGGCAGCAACGTGGCATCCAGGGAGCCAGGCCTGCCCAGCCTCCTGCTGTCTCGCCCTCTGCACTGCCGCGCTCTATGGGCGTGGCTCTGGTGTAGGCGACTAAGTCTCTCTTAAGACAGAAGCAGGGCGAGGAAAAGTGTGGGGAGGTCTAGGTCGCTGCACCCAGAACCGCCCATTCTCCAAACAGTGTGAACTATATGGGGGGAGCACAGCGTGAGGGTCATGACGGGGGACCTCGCATGCCTCACGACAGAGTTTCTGTGCCTCAGGTGAGCAAGTACCACCTCATCTCAGATGTGACGGCCCTGCAGTGCATTTGTATGGCACAACACCATGTGTGATGTCCCCACAGTGTGTCCCCATATGTATACAGACCACACTGCCAAGGGACTTATATTCATTCTACACTAGAAGTGTAAACAGGAACCTGGACTTCCCTACGTATCCTTTGGCATCATGCCCAGTGCTTTTATAAGTATCAAATATCTTAAACATGAAGAGATTAAGTCACAGAAAGCTGTATCAGCATATATTCCCTGTGTGAGGTATATGGTGGTGATCAAGTAAGTTCGTGAGGTTAGAGACGGCAGATGTTGGTGTTGGCCCACCTGACACTGGGGCCTTCTCAGGAAAGAGCAGGGACAGGGAGCATGACTGGCCTCAGGCCCAGCTCCTGCTCTCCACTCCGAGACTCGGATCCCATTCCCTCACCTCTGTGAACCTTGTCTCCTCGCCAGGTGTCTGGATAAGGACTCTTGCCTGCCTCGGGGAGCTGCTTGGAGAACAGTGTAGAATGTTGGTAGAAGTTCTTTCCTAGATAAAGGGTAGCACGTAGTGAGGCTCTTTTGAGAAGTAATTGGTGTTTATATCATCGAAAGAAGCGGAAAATAGATCCACATCCCAAACTCAAAATAATACCTGTACCATCATCAGTGAGAGTCATGACTTGCCTGGGAGTAGTCTGGAGAGAAAGCAGGTTCTTCCGATACGAGTTGCATTGCAGCTTCCTTTTAATGATGGTGAGTTCCTCCTCACTTGGTGGAATGCCCCCTTTGGGTTGAAGATGTCACATAAAGTGAGTTACCACTGTCTCCCTCAGAATTCCACTTGCAGGAAATCTGTCCTCTGTGTCTTGCATTTACAGCATGTCGATAGGAACCTGTTCCAACAGCAGCCTCTCTCAGACCCTCCTCACTGTCTTCTGTGGATGTTCCATTAAAGTGCCACAAAGCTTCAAAAATGTCTGGAGGATGACTTGTATGCAAGATCAGTTTTTCTCAACCCCTGAGTCTAGAACCATGTTTTCAGGAGACCAGACTAATTTTTAAACAAAGAATTAGGAAGCCACCCATGCCAGTGTGCCCAGAAAGATTGCTGATTTCCTGAAAGCACATTCCCTTGACTAGCCTTCCTGTAAGTGGCCCACAGTCACTACTCTTTCTGCCCACCAGCCTCCTCATGAATTGCACTGACCTTGCCAGTATGCCAACCAGCTGATGGCTTCTCTCAGGAGTTCCCAACTGTCTTGGCTCCCCAGTCAGCCCTATGCATCCCAGAATGAGTAAGATTCCTTCCTGTGTTTAGTTATGTGGCTGTATCATAAACCACTTGAAGTACGATGGCTTCAAAATCAAGAGCGGACTATTTCCCACAGTTCTGTGGTCTGGCCAGAGGGTCCTACCCACACAGGCTGGGGCCATTCCTTGTCTACATTCAGCCAGTGCCAATGCAAGGCTGGAAGGTACAGGAAACCCTTGCTCTTCTACCTGGCCTCTCCCCCATGGCCCACGTGGGCTCCCTTACACTGGTGTGGTCAGACCCTTTCGTGACAAACATCTTCCAGAAGGAAGCAGAACGCTCATATGGGAAGCAGAATGCTCCCATCCCTCCAAGTGGCCAATGCAGGGTCACTCAGAGGCAAGACAGGGACAAGACTCCATGTCCAGAAGGGTGGAGCTTGTGGGAATGGGAGGAGAGGAACTCCAGGCTGCTCTGGGAGACTCTGCCAAGCTTACAAACATTCTGATGCCTCTTAAATATGCTACCTAACTACTTAACTAAATACTACATAAGCTGTTGTCCCATGAAAAGAAGCACTTGTCTCTTTGAAAAAGCTAAAATTAAGTTGCTAAGGAGCAGTAGAATTAGAAGTAAAGAAGCAGCTGTGAATGGTCAGGGTCATTCATGGACTCCAGCTTTGCAGGTCTGCATTTGCCCCACTTTGAGTGCAGTGACACAGGAGATGGACAGCAAATGGGGTGTAACTTACACAAGGCAGAACTGGAGGCCCAGTCAACAAGCTCACGCTCAGTGGAGAGGCTTTTGCTCTGCATTCCTAGCTTACATGATAAATGCACATTCTTTGTGCTTTAAATTAAATGAAGATGTTCAAGGCATACTTGTATGGCTTTCTGCTTTAACCATGCTCACTCCCCCAAGCTGCTAGCTATTACTTTGGGTGTGGGGCTGCCAAAATCGTGGAGAATCCCCCATGGGTGGGTTTTGAAAGATGGAGAAGATGTGTGTGATAAATGAAAATTACGTCTTTCTCATTTATATTAATTGGAAGATATTTTAGGTGATTCATATGGGATATTTGTAGCTGAAGAAGGATGACGTGGAGAAATGGCTCATCTGTCTGAGCGCGTTTGCCTCAGTGTGTTTCCAGTCATGAGGGTTATGTCATTATTTCCTCTCTTTGTTTGCTTTTAGCTTCTTGATTTGTAAGAGTGGCTTGTCAGTTTTATGCTTTGTTTGTTTAGCTGCTGACTCTAGCCAGTGCAGTCCAATGGAATCTCAGTGTGGTACTCACTAGCCATGTTCGGCTTCAGAGCATTTGAAATGTGGCTACTGCAACCAAGGAACTGATTTTTTAAGTGTGTTTAATTTTAATTCGTTTCATTTAAGTGGCCACATGAAGTTAGCGGTTGCCATATTGGAAAGTACAGCTCTAGGGGTTTGTCTCTATAAACCAATTTAAACCTCTTAGTTCATTTTATCTATTCTTTTAGCTAAAACTTTTACTACATTGTTGAATATTAAGGGAGATATCTGGCTTCTGATTTCAGTTGTACTCTTGTGTTTAAATATTTCCATTAATACTTGCTTTTCTTTTTTTTTTCTTGAGTTGGAGTCTCACTCCATCGCCCAGACTGGAGTGCCGTGGCCGCTCCCGGCCACCGCAGCCTCGTCTGCTGGGCTCCGGCGATCCTTCCGCCTCAGCCTTCCGAGTAGCCGGAATTACAGGCGAGCGCTACCACGCCCGGCTGATTTTTTGATTTACTGTAGAGATGAGGTCTCGCTGCCCAGGCGGGTCTCAAACCCACGGGCTCAGGCAATCTGCTCACCTCAGCCTCCCAAGGCGCGAGATTACAGGCTGAGCCCCCGAGCCCGGCTTACTTGCTTTTTTTTTTGACGGGGTCTTGCCACGTTGCCCTGGCTGGTCTCGAACTCCTGGGCTCAAGCGACCCTCTCGAGTAACTGGGACTACAAGTGCATGCCACCACACCTGGCTTAATACTTGCTGTTTTCACTAAACAGTCTCTGTTCTGTTAAGTGAGTGTCATATTTCACTCTTTTATTTGGAGTTTTTATAAATTGGGAATAGCCGCTGGATTTCACCAAGTCACTTTTCAGTCTATTGATAGTATCGATAGGAACATGCTCCTCTTTTCAGACTGACCTTTGATTTTATTATCACCATCTCAAAAACAGGATGCTACCAGAGCTTCAGAAGTCCAGTTCCCCTGAATTCCTCATCAAAGCCCTGTTCTTTATTTCTCGCGGTCTCCACAGATGAACTCTTTTTTCATGAAATCTAGACTCTCTCCTCTGTTTTCCAAATAAACCTTTTATCTCAGCTACAACATCTTTGCTCATGCTGTTGTGCTGGGACTGGGCCCTGCCTACCGCCCTCTTTGTCCAAGTGCTGTCCTGTGCCGCCATGGACACCCTGACAGGACTCTCTCCCTTTCCGAACTATCATTGCACCTAATTTGTATTACATCCGGTGTTGCGAATTGGTGGCCTGTTCTCACAGCATTGTGTAAACCAAATATTTTTAAATGGGCATCTTAATATTATTATACTATTTAACAAAGAAGTGCATGCTATAAAGTTGCAAAAAGCACAATGATGCTACAAGGCTTTTAATAAAGATAATATATCTGGTGTCTCTCCTCATCCCCAATTCTCACTCCTTATGGCAACTCCTTTCAACGCTTCCATTGCCTTCTCTGGTATTTGCTGCCATTTCTTTTCCTTTTTTCCCCTAATTTGCATCTTTGTTCATTAAATTCCTGAAATGAATAAGGATTTCTCTCTCATGTCATTCTCACCACCCATATATGCACATACTGTGGCCCCACCTTCCTAATAGGATCATATCACAGTTGCTAGTTTATGTTGTTTTGAGCATAGTTAAGCTCTGTAAAAGTTGGCATTTCCTTTCTTTATAACTTTATGTTTTTTCTGGAATAGTAATTTTCTCATTTTTCTGTCGCTTAATGTCATAACTACCTACCAACTGTCAAACTTTGGGCCAGAACAACACAAAACACTCTCAAGCAGATCAGAATCCTAAGACCATCTCAGGATTCTATCTTTTCTCTTAGAGCCACTACCCTCAATCCATGCCTCCTCCTGCAGCCAGGGCTCGTGGGATCCCAGTTAGGGACCATGAGCCTGGCTTCGGAGGTCTGAAAACTTCACAGAGGAAAGAGTCTGTGGTCTCAGAGCTTAGGATCAACCTCGAATGCGATGGAGAGTTTTCAGCTCTGTGCCCAAATCCTGGCACCCAGAGCCCCTCCTGGGGGCTCAGATCTCATGCTCCTGACTCTCACCCTCCGCTCTGCCTGGTTATCCAACACACCACTTTCTGTCCTCAGAGCTGTATGGACATCTCTTGACACTTCCCTTTCAAAGATTTGGCTGTCGTTTTTGTGAGGCTTGAGAAGCAATAGAAAGAAACTCCTAAGTTCCTAACTGGCCACTCGTGCCCTAGGGCTGCTTGTCCACCTGTGCCATAGGTGACTACATCCAGTGACTCTCAGCCACAGTCTTGTGCACTCCTTGAGCCCACACATCCATCTTCTCACAGCTTATAGTGCTGTTCCTCATATGTGCCTTTCAATAAAGGGACAAATAAAGGGAAGACATTAAGTCATCGAAGGGACAAGATGATACATTAACTCTGGTTGCCTGAGTCAAATCCTACTACAGTACAACAAATGCTTGATGTGGTACGAATTTAATATCTTTCTGTTAATACTTAAAACAGCAATGATTCGTATTATTATATAATACAGAGTTATTGCATTATACTATATGTCAATAGATATTTTAAAATATATTAGATTATGTAATTATTAGTATTAAATCAGAAATTTGCAACTTTTTGGTGAAGAGAGTTCAACCTTCAAAATAACAACAAAACTTTCAGAATGCGCTGTTTTTATCAGACATGGAGGGAACTTACAGGCCAGAGTCAGAAGTACTCGGTTATGAGCTGAGCACTTAAAGAGGGCTGCTCCTTGGACTCTAATTACAGCCTCACTCGTGGTGCCCACGCCTGGTGAGGCCAAGGCATGTATCTGAAGTTTTGAGGGATACATTCATATTTGATCATTTGTTTGAACATTTTTAAAGAAAACCAACATTTCTTTAAATATGTAGGAGCATCAATATAGTATGAATTTATGTACTCAAGTATTGGTATATAAACTTCATTTTATAATGAATACATTTTCATTGTATTAAAAATATTTATAAAGTATTTTCATCTATAAAACTTCGTTTGTAATCAACTTTTTGGAGACATATCTGTATTTTTGTATGTAAAACGTTCCTGTATTCAAACCAAAAAATATATGTTCTCCATGAGTGTATTTGTACAGTTATTGTACAGGTCTGGATGGCATGTCTGAGAGGAAAACCATAGTAAATTTGTTTGCTTGTTTTACCTAGGCTATCACACTGCTTGCCCAATATTGAAGTTTAAACAAAAGATAAAATTTTAGAGATCACAAAGTATAGTAGAAATACCTTGGACCTTGTAGTAAAAAGTCCTGGGTTTAAACATGGAATTTATCATAGGTATGTGACCTTGAGAAGTCATGAAATGATTTCAACCTTAATGCTTTTCATCTGGAAGCGAATGAATGCAATACTTGTATGACTTACCCTCATAAGGTGGTCATTAAGACCAAATAAGAGGTCTGAAAATGTTTTAAGGTACATATTATGCAAATTTGAGGCATTCAATAACTTTATGCAATTAACCTATGGTTTTCTTACTAGTAAGGCATCTTGACAGCAAAAAGATCAATCAATCTTATCAAAGATTTTAATTTGTAAGTGATTGTTAAAGTCAGGTTACCTAGAAGCACAAGCATATTTTCCTCTGGGGATATCCCTCCTCAAGGAAACCTGAGTCTCCACAATATATACTGATACCAGTGGTGTCCATTTGATCACACTAGGGAATACAGGTCAACAAGAAAAAACAGTGTCTCTCTTAAAATTCAAAAAGTAGACTGCACACGGAATTATGAGAATACTTTCTGCAGAAATATGGTCATTTCTCTAAAGCTAATTAAATGGACCCACGTTTATTATTATGATTATCATTACTTATTATTATACATTAGTTTCAATAATATTGGTGATGCAAGTATGTTTCACAGAAAGATGATTTGCAAGACAATTATCTAATTAATGGATTTTGCATTTCTTTTCTGTTCTATTCTATTCTATGAGTCGGGGTCTCACTCTGTCACCCAAGAGGGAGTACAGTAGCCAGATCACAGCTCACCACAGCCTCCACCTTCTGGACTCAGGCGATCCTTCCACCTCAGTCTCCTGGGTACCTGGAACTACAGGCACAGGCTACCAAATCCAGCTTTTTTTTTTTTTTGTAGCGATGAGGTGTTGCTATGTTTCCCTGGCTTGTCTCAAACTCCTGGGCTCAAGCAGCCCACTCACCTCAGTCTCCCAAAGTGCTACGATTACAAGCATAAGCCATCACATTTGTGAAGCTTCTGTCACTTTGTGGTGTGCCTTTGTGGGGCCTGCGGTCCTGCCTTACTTTGCCTTTCTCCCTCCAGCCTGCAGTGGCGTCTGGGACAACATCACATGCTGGCGGCCTGCTGATGTGGGAGAGACCGTCACGGTGCCATGCCCAAAAGTGTTCAGCAATTTTTACAGCAAACCAGGTACTGTGTGTGCACTGAGTCCCTATGTTCCTCCACAGTGTTTGTGTCTGAGAATGTGGGTGTTTTCCATGAAGGCAACAAGAAGCAGGAGCATCACTTTCTGTTGGTAACGTCCAGAGGCTTCCTGCTACTCAGGAGAGCCAGAACAGCTGAACCGTGTAAGGGTGAATAGGTCTTGGGGAGCAGGAGGTGTCATCTGCCTCAAGCACAGGGAAAGAACCAGACAAGGGTTGTTCAGGAGCAGGAGACATAGACAAACAGGAACCAAAGAACTGAAAATGTGTAAGAGATGGGAAGGGAGACAAGCAGGAGACTATACCAAGGTTCCATGTATCCCTGCTGGGTTGGTCCACCGGGGAACGCAGGGCGTCCTCCAGGGTTTTGAGGGAAGTGCGCTGTGGTGCCTGGAGCCGTGATGCTCGGAGGAGAACCACCACCAGGAATGTAGTTTCTCCTTCCCAGAAAGAACCTCTTTACTGAACCAACTCTTTTCCAATTCTCAACTCCCCTCCTTGCTTCACCTGTTTGATGGTGCCTAAAATGTGCAGTTTCTCCTAGTTCGAAGGCTTCTCCTGTGTCCAGGGTTGCTCTGTGCATGAGTGCTGCAAACATCTCTTGGCTCGATCCTGAAAGGAGGGTTTTGCTTGTTTGTCTGGTTTTGTAAGTGATTCTGATTTCCATGATGTAAGGAAATCTATTACAAAAAATGGAAAATAGAAGGTACATCTGGACACAGACAAGCATAATACGTTGGAGTGCTACAGAGAACTTACTTTGGTCTTGGTCAGATGGTAGTGGGCGAACACTTGTAGAGTTAATAGTGCTGACGTATTGCAAAACAGTATTGGAAAGTGGAATGGAGGAAAAGGAGGTTCAGAAAAGAAAGATAGGGAGACTCTCTCACCCCGAATTGCCAGTGGGGAGGTGGTCGGAAGATAGAGACTGTCCTTGTGTGATTACCACTAGTCATCCACAAGTTAGAACCAAAATTATTTAAGAGAATCTGACTTCAAGAACTGTCTCATATAATGAATAACCTGTCTGCTGAGTGGCTTAGGCTATAAACATTCTCTGGGAAATCCAGAATAAATTGGCATGGACTCTGGTTTTTTCAAGTCAATGTCATGGTTCTGGGTCTCCAGAAAGCAAACAGCAGCCTGGTAATTTCCACATTGCAAACACCAGAACCAGTTTCTGGGCCATCTGTGGCATCTAACCCAACCTCTGACAAACAGAGGCCATCTGAGCACTGGGCACCCGGGTCAGTTAGACTCTGACTCTGCTTAGAATCCTCATGCTTCCTCCACAGGGAGAATGAAAACTCCCAGTCTGTTTTGAGTTAAATGTTTGACACTTTTGCCAGGCACGGTGGCTCACGCCTGTCATCCCTGCACTCTGGGAGGCAGAGGCAGGTGGATTGTTTGAGTCCAGGAGTTTGAGACCAGCCTGGGCAACATAGCCAAACCTTGCCTCTACAGAAAATAAAAAAACTAACCCAGCATGGTGAGGTGTGCCTGTAGTTCCAGGTGTTCAGGTTGCTGCGGTGGAAGGATTACCTGAGCCCAGGCGGTGGAAGCTGCCATTAACCCTAATGATCACACCACTGCACTCCAGCCTGGGCAACAGAGTGAGAACCCTACTCAAAAAAATAAAGATGCTTGACACTTTTTTCTCAGACAGGGAGCATGACTCTGCCTTGCTATTGTGAGGAAATTTGTGGAGTTTCCCTGAGTCTGAGTAGTTCCAGCTGTCTACTTTTTCAACCAATCACAAAAACGTGAACCAGGAGATGGCATGTACAGACAGTGGACAGATAATCAACATGCAATGTCCACATGGAATGTCATCTTTTGGGGCATTAAACAAGCATTTTTTGCAATTATTTGGAGGAATAGGGGTGTAACAGAAAGCTGGGGGCTGAGGTGGGTCCACTTGGCATCATACAGCAGGGGGCTTCCTGTGACCTGTAAGGAAAGCTGAGTCATGGAGCACGCTCAGAATAACTTCAGTGCACAAACCTAGATGTTCAAGAAATAGACCTGTCTTTTTATAAGAAGTTGTCTTCTCCTTTTATTTCTTATCTCTGCAACAGGAGAGAGTTGGGGACTCCATCGTTAAGTTGGGGATGTGGCCTCGGGTTGACATCTGGTCAACATCATGGGTGCCTCGCACACCACCATGGCAACCAGCACTCTGGCGCTTGGCGTTTTTGTACCAGGGGAGAGCCTGAGCCATGTCCAGTGGGAAGCTCCTTCTCCAGATCCTACCCCCTGTCCTGTGTTGGTTGTGCCTGGGAGACAAGCCCTCTCCTGGCCTGGGTTGGACACTCCTGCGCAGGGAAAGCTGTGAGGACTGGATGCTTGTGGCATTTCCTACCCCTGTCCCCATGAGAAGGCAGTGTGCCAACTGTCTGCTCAGAGAGGGAACAAAGGAAAGGGGCAAGAGCTGAGGGGAGAGGAGGCCACAGTTCATTGCCCCAGTGTGACAGCCCCCTGCGAAAGCACTTGCTCATGATCCATGCTTGATGCCTGGGAAGGCAGCCCTGACGGCTCTGTGCTGGGTTTTTCATTTCTTGACAAACCGTCTATGTTGTTCATTGCTGTGTAGTGCCCAGCTACCGATTTGGCATGGAAGTGGGGTATCCAGACTAAAGGAAGGAGTCAGCTACCTTCCAGCACACACATGGTGCTAGGTGCAGTTCTGAAAGTAACAGTCTTTAAAGGGGACATCAGCAAACCCCCAGGTGGAGGATAATGCATGTATAAGGGGACTTGAAATATTTGCTCTGAAGAATGAAACCCCAAAGGATTGCCTCAGGTATTAGTGGGAGGAGGAGTGATGTGCTCTGCATGTGAGACCTACCTGTGGCCTGACCACCTTCTTCTGGAATACCTTGAGAAGTTCCCTAACCATGTGTGGCACAGGTATGACAGTGGCACCTTCCTCGGAGGGCTGTGGTGAGGGCCGTGCCTGAAATATACGTAGAGCACAGGAAATTAAGCGCATTCCAGTTGGACTGGCCAAGACATTATCTTCGGAGCTGCATCAGGCCTCCCCAGACCCCAAGGCTGGTTCCATGCACTGCACTCTTACCTACAGAGTGGGGGATGGGAGGGGCCATGGGCAGGGTGAGCAAAGTTCCCACGGAGTGAAGGGCCCCTCAGATCTGGGATCCTGGCTTCCACCTCTTCAAGTTGACAATCATTGGTTTTGCCCCCCTTGCCTTGTCCTCCGTGCAAGGCATCTCCCTGGTCTGTCTCTACACCTCCCTGGCCTCTCTCTGCACCTCCCTGGCCTCTACACACCTCCCTGGACTCTCTCCCTGCACTTCCCTGTCCTCTCTGCAGGATGCTGCCTCCAGCATTGCTGAAAGTTCTCCTTCTACATCCGCCCCAGGTGTCTCAGGATCAGGTGGTCAGGAAGGATAAAGAGCCTCTACTTATTCTATAGACTTAATGACTTGGTTTCTGTGGTTTTATTTGCACGCCTTCTTCAGCTTAGTAGACACTAATCTCCAGTGGAAGGAAAGGATGGACCTGACAGAGTGATGAGAGACAGGCTTATCTTCCACCGACCGCTGGCCCCGGGGCTCAGGGTGGGACCTGAAGTTTCCTGGCTCAGGTGAGAGCCAGACTGCCAGAGTGGAGCTCAGCCTGGCGCCTACTAGCAGTGTGACTTTGGGCAAGCTACTCGGCTTCCCTAAGCCTCTGCTTTCTCGTCTGTGACATGGAATAATTCATAGGTTTCAGAATCAGATGGGTTGAGACAAATATGGAGGCTTAGCATGTGAGAGCTTAGTGGATTGTAGCTGCCACTGCTCCATGACCACTACTATAGTTTTTATTAGTAGCATGATTCCTGGATTTGTTGGGATCGATCTGTGTGAGCTTCAGTCTCCTTGTCTGGAAAATGGGGCAGTGGGACTGGCTCTCCAGGAGCCATGTCTCTTTCAGGGCTCTGTCTACTTCCACTTTGCATGGGGATCTCTGCTGCCAAGTGTCCCCAGGCCGGCCGGGGCTCCCTGTGGTAGGTGTGTGCCCTGACCTCTGAGACTCCTGACTGGCGCTGGTGTCAGGATGGCCTTGCTGAGATCGGCCTCTCACCCCACTCCTTCCCAGTAGAGTCAGGCTTGGCCCAAGTTCTCCTTCTGCCTCTCACTTCCAGGTGACAAGAATCACTTGTACACATGATCACCATGGTGTGAATGAGCTCTTCCTGATGAATTAGAGCAAGTGAGGAAGCAGGTTGCCATAGTGTAGAAGAAATAATGGGATTTTCGAGTCAGAAAATATGTCTCTCCCACCCATTAGTTACTGAGTTTTCAGAGCCTTATGTCCCTCCGTAAAATGGAACAGCAATGCCTACCAAATCTGTCTTGTAAGGTTGCCCTGAAATTAAAAAGTCATGTGAAGGAAGACACTGACTACATCCAAAGGCCCTAGACCCTTGAGTCACTGCAGCAAGGTGGGAGATGAGGCTCCCGGTTCTGGCAGTGCCAAGCACAGCAAGTGCGTAGAGGGGTCTGAGTGCCGTAGGCCCTGTGGGAAGGATGATCCTGATGCTCAAGCAGCGCATCCGCATGTACCCAAGGCGAGGCTGGCATGTTCAGAGTCCTTTCTGCTCTGGCGCCTTTGAGAGCTTCGTCACTTACTGTGTTGTGTGGTCATCTGCTAAGCACACTTTCTTTGTAAATAGAACACCACATGTCTGAGCAGAACATACAGTTTTAGGTTATTTAGGGTTAGGGTTAGTGGAATTGTAAGCTGCCTTTATTTCATGCAACTAAACCTTCATACCATGATCAGTTTCCTCCAACACCAGTGACTGAGGGGAGCCTGCCCTGTTCTAGGTTAAGGGCTGGTGGAGGGGAGGGCTAGAGGGAGTTCTCAGGAGCCCGGGAAGTTACACTATCAGCTCCAGGAGAGTCAGGGTTCGGCTGCAAATATTTCCTGTGGTGGCAGAACATGACAGTCTGCTAAGAATTTTCATTCTGCCCCCCCAATAACAATACTTAACAGTGGCAGTAATTACAATTTATGGCACAGTACTGTCACGTCTCTTAGACCCTACCAACCAGGAGGGGGGTGGTCACTGGTCAGATTACGTGGACGAGGAGGCTGAGAATAGATTTCCACAGGGACACAGCTGTCCTAGCTGACCCTGGGCATGAGGCAGCATTTTAAGACAGCACAGGCGAGGCACACACTAAACAGTTGCTGCAGAGGCTAGTTTTCACAGACTTGCACATAAAATATCTGAACTTCATTTTCCTAGGAAACATAAGCAAAAACTGTACGAGTGATGGATGGTCGGAGATGTTTCCCGATTTCATAGACGCCTGTGGCTACAGTGACCCTGAGGATGAGAGCAAGGTAGGCTCCCGCAGGGCTGTAGGCCTGGTCAAATCCCCCTCCTAACGCGCCACATAGACGAGGAGCCCGTTTTCATCTAGGGCCTGTTCCCACCCTGTAAGCATTATTTAGATTTTCTTTCCTCTGAGTAGCAATCTTTCTTCTTCTTCTCTGAATTAAACAAAATCCCTATTTCAGTTCTGCTACCTGGCATCTGGAATTGTTTGATTGTTCCATAATTTTGGAGTCAGGGAAAGACTTTTTTTTTTTAACCTGCTATCAGTGTGTCCCTTTGATGGTGAAGAGACATCAGAGGGTGGCCTGACGTGCCTGAAAGTAGCTTTTCGAAGGCATCCTGAACAGCACCCTCTTTCTGCATTTGGGTTTATTGTCTCATTAAGACCATGGTCTGGGCCATTGAAAAACCAGTGCCAAAGTTTCCTAAGACTAGAGCCTGCAGCAAGAAATGTGCCCAACATTAGGGAATCTTTTCAAGCTGAGAGACCAGATTTGTCCTCAGCCCAGAGGCTCCTGTGCATGGGTATCTCAGTCCCAGTTGGCAGTCCTCCCACTCAGGCTGCACACATTTGACACACAGTTTTCAGGGGTCTCAGGGTGTTGTGTCCATCATGAATCCTTCTGCAGGACTGTGATCTGTAAATAAACAGAGCAGTTTTTCTCAAGAGTGGAATGTGTCTGGCTTCAGCTGTAGTAAACTCTGCTCCGGGGTCTGTTTGGGCAAACCTTCCCAGCCCAGCAGCGGTGTGGCCGCCCTTCCAAAGTCTCACCCAGCAACATTGTCCAGGTATTGTTCATCTGATCACCAGACAGCTCACCATCCTCCCGCTTTGCCCTTATAGTCCTGTGTGGGTGGTGAACATCTTGCACACCCACTGTCAGAGGTATGTGCAGACTTGTGTGTGCCCACATAGGGTGTGGAATCAAGTAGGGGAGACACTTGAGGCTATTTGAAAGAGCCTTGGGAAAGATCACGCCACACACGAATAGATATTCTTCTGCAAGCCAGCAAAGTATTAAGTGAAAGCCTATGACCTGCCCCAACTCGTAAAGGTGCTACTTCCTGTCCCGGTCCCTGGGGAGATGGTTGTCAATGCTGTTGGATTGCTTCTCTGGGGGAATTAATGCATCTCTCTTGTGCTCCTTTCTTACAGAGAGCTTTCTTTGCTCTCTTCACTAAGTTTTACAGTTCAAAGCCAGTTGTTTTTCCCACCAAATTATTAAGGCTTAGGAAAAGAAGTCCTTGATATTGCAGCCAATATCCCACCAAATTGGAATACTTAACTCCTGACCTGTGGCCAGTAGTTAATAAGGGATGTGGTAATGGTGGTGACTGGCACGTTGGATGTTGCTGTGAGCCTGATGTAATTACCAGGATGACTTCATTTACTCTGGATAGTAAGCTATTTCACAGATGGAGGAACTGAGACTTAGAGAAACTGGAAGGTGTGCTCCCTCATGCATAAGCCATCAGGACTGGGCCCTCATTGGTCTGATTCCAACTAGTTCACGTGCCCATACTTGCTCTGACATTTCTGCCAGGCCGGGCAGCTCTCTGGCCCTACAGCCCTCATGTGTAGGTTTGAAAGCACCACCATGGGATGGGACACCCTGCAGGAGTCACCTGGCAGGGGCTGTGCTAGCCTCTCCAGCACATGCAGAGACGTCATTTGAGGGTCCCTCTGGGATGTGCTCCCACACGGCATCCAGCACCATGGAGTGTCAGGGACCTGGGAGCCAGCACACGTGGCTGCTAGCTCTGAGGAGGGAGGATGACAACTTGCTCTGACCCTCCCCAGGGATGACCCAGCTCAGCTGAAGAGAGAGAGAACTCTGTCACCTCGCTCCTCACTTCCTGTGTGCAATGGTTTTCTGGTTCTGGTGAGTGTGACGTCACAGCAGTGAGGATGCCATTGGCCCCAAACATCGGTAGAAAAGGGAATTTCCTCTGAGGTCCCGGTGACACAAGTGAGGGAGGGGTCTCATTAAGCCTGTGGAGCCCTTGTGCTTTGTTCTAGTCTCTGTCCTGTTTCTGCTGTGCATAATCTCTAGTGTGAACTTTTCTGTGTCAGATGCAGTCACTGTCCTCAGAGGCTGTCACCCTTTGGTGGCCCGTGGGCCCCCAGGGTGTTGGAGGTGTTGCTTCAGTGCCCCCACCAGGGGCCGTTGTGTACATCTGGAACATGTGACTCTAGGAATGTCTTGGAATTCAGTGTTGGTATTCAGTGTTGGCACATCCCAGATGAGACACCGGAGGGGATTCACCAACCTGTCAGGCTTATGAACCAGGCGAATGGGAACGGGAGAGTAGCTGCCGTGACTGCACGAACATCTAACAGTATTTAGAGTCAGGCAACAGAAACTTCCTGTCAATTCCTTCTTACTCCTCCTTGCTGTGGGTCGTCCATGTCCTCCAGGATGTAACTGGTGGCTCAAGTGTTCCATAGTCTTTCCTGTCCCTTCTCCTCATCACTAAATCCTTAAAAGGTTGGTTTTTTGTTTTGTTTAGTTTTTGAGTCAGGATCTCACTCTGTCACCCAGGCTGGAATGCAGTGGCGTAATCACAACTATCACGACTCATGACAGCCTCCACCTCCTGGGCTCAGGTGATCCTTCCACCTCAATATCCCAAGTAGCTGGGACTACAGGCACACACCACCACATCTGGCTCATTTTTAAATTTTCTGTAGAGCTGTGGTTTTGCTATGTTGCCCAGGCTGATTTGAACTCCTGGGCTCAAGCAATCAGCCTGTCTCAACCTCCCAAAGTGTTGGGATGACAGGTGTGAGCCACCACACCTGGCTATTTTTATCCTACTCGTTTGGGGACTGCGTCACACCCTGTTTTCCCCTTTTCTTAGAAGCTGTCTTCAAGGTTCTCCTGTATGCCAGAGTGATGCTTGCCCTGTGTATGTTTTGTATGTATCGGAGTCTACAGATAGGCCCAGCTGGTCCCAGTATAAGCCTGTGGGTGTATATCCTCATGTGCATCTCAGCTGACAGCACCTCTGAGTGGCAGAAACCCGAGCCTGGGCTTGAGACCTCATTGGGACCTTCAGCTTTGGAGGCTGCTTAACCTTTAACCCCAGTTTCTCATCAGGAAAACGTGGGGTAGGATCTACCTCCATCCACGGTTGTTGATGGCACAGCACAGAGCCCACAGAAAAGACCCTCTACGGGCTGAATCTGAACTCAGAGCATGTACTCATAGAAGGAACGGTGAATTTCAGGGTCCCAACCCCTTCCCAAACTGCTGCATAGCCATTTAATACATTCAAGCCAGGAAACCACGCTGCTGGCTTTCTGAAAGTAAGACTTTAAATCATAAATTTACCCCATATTTTTTCTGTAGAAAGAAGAGTTTGAGGCTCTGTACTGAGGACCCTGAATTCTGACCAGGAGTTGGGACAGCTTCTCCACTAGCATGGTGACCAGAGAGCCAAGGGTGGTTTTAGCAGCGACCTTGTCACCTCCTACCTGTCACTATGAGAACCCCCAGGCTGCGTTGCTGGGATGCAGTCAGACCATTGTAGGGGCCACAGAGACAGGCCCCAGTTGCCTGGAGTCTAGGGGGCTTCTGAAGTCTGCAGAAGGGAGATTCCGACATCCAGATGGGATGCTAGGGGGACCACCCTTGAGTCTTCATCTACCTCTGAGTTAACCAGTGGCTGCACTTAGGAGGCATCAGAACACACGTACTAGTGAAAGGCAGAGGGCCCTGAGATCCCTCCACAGTATTCCTTCAGAGTCCATGGGTGCAGACCCCTGCAAGAGGTGTGACCCTGTGCTCATTTATTCATTTTCTCCTTCATCCATTCATTCCATGAATAAAGGTTTCCAAGAACCTCTGTTCTGAGCTCCTGGGGTCATAAAGAGTGACATGGGATCTGGCAAGTGGTGAGAGCCAGCATAGCTGTGGCGATATCAGCTCAAGTCACTAGTCAAGCATGACCTCCTCAGCCCCTGTTTCCCCGTGGGTCCCACCCTGGGAAGCATTCCCAGGGACACTCTCTGGAAAACTCCAGGTCCATGTGGTCATTGGGAAAGGCCTGTAACTGAATCCTGTCTGCGTGACCAGAGCCTCTGTGATTCCCTGATGTTTCTCTGTCTTTGAAGACCTATTTTTCTGCTTAATTAAACATTTCAGAGATTCTGCAAATACCGTAAGTGCATATTCCCTGCTAACAGATTAGAAAGTCAAAATATTTTAATGTGAGAAGGCAAAGATAATGATGGCACAAACCCGAATGAATCAGTTTTCTTTCTGATTTCACTTTCTGCTCTTTGGACACTTTGAATACTTGGTTGTTTTAGGGACTCATTTTACAAACAAAACCACGGCACATACTGTGTGGCATTCCAGACACCGGAGCACCAGGACCGGCCCAGGCAGCTGCTGGGAGGGCGTGTGCTGCCCAAGGCCAGGTCTCCCTGGCTGGTGAGCGCAGGGGGGACTCGTAGATGAACGGGGTCCCTGTCCCCAGGAGCTCATGCTTCATCTCATCAGTGTCCCACTTTCTTCCGAGATTGGTATTTCAAACTGAATTTCCTGCATGCACGCAGCCAAATGCTGCCCTGGGCGTTGTATGTGCAATCTTCATTGGTTTCAAAGTTAATTAAATTCAAGGAAAAAAAGATGTAGCCTCCGCAAAAGTCGCAGGCTTATCTGTAGGAAACCTACAGCTAAGACGTAGTGGTCGGTAGGGAGTTACCTGGAAGAAGGACCGGTCTGGGGACCTGGAGGTCATGCACGTGGCTGTGCAGCTGCGTCTCAGAGACCAGCTTCCATACCCAAGTTCTCCCTGGTCTGTGTCCTTCTCCCTCCAAGACCAGCTTTCAGGCATTGTGCTTTGGGTGGGAACATTTCATTTTAGGCCTTGTGTCTTTTAAGCACCGAATAAAAGGTTTAGCTCCACAGGATGATTTAAGGAGCCACCAGCCTGTGGGCACCTCAGCCCTCGGGCACCACGACTGCTCCTCTCCCTCTTTTTGCACCTTTGCCTC